TCTCTGACCTTCCGTAAACTGGCTGTCTGATCTTGGGGGAGCTATTTAACCTCTCTCAGCCTGCTTCCTTCCCTCTAAGTGGGGCCAGTAATAAATACATATTATTAGATTGTGGTGAGACATATATAAGATGAAACATGGAAGAAAGTACTTAGTACAGGCAGGGCTGGTATGTAGAAAGAACTCAATACATGGCGATGTAGTCACTGTTATTATAATTTTGTCCCTCTTCCCGAGACCTCACTTCTTTAATTACCTTCATACCCATCTTTCTCCCTGAGGGGAGCACAGGAAATGGAAGAAACACTGGACTCTGAGCTGGAGAGGCCAAAATGGCTTTTGCAGCCTGGCTGTCCTCCTTCCAGAAGGACCCAAGAAGCTGTTCCAGGCAAGACAGAGCAAGTTCCTGGGAATCTAAAGAGCCAGGGAAGGTCCAATGTGAGTCACTTCCTCAGTTAGCACCAAGGCAGTGACAGAAGTAGCATTTCCTGGCCATGACTTTGCTGAGGTTGTCCTGCTGTTTTTGGAAAGGTATTGCTTTTTAGGCTTCAGAAATGGGGACTCCATCTTAGTTCAGGATGCACGGCCACTGCTTAGTCTCTTGGGATTCCCCAGGAGCATGGGGTTAAGGAAATTGGGGAGGAAGTGGTGTGACTGACCCTACACAGCCCATGCTGGTCTTACACTTTGTTGGCCTTTCCTCCCTGACCTAAGCAGACTTTATTTCGTTGTTAGGGAGGCAAAGCTATGGCTCCTCCTGCTAGAGCAATTCTCCTCAAAGTTTAGCAGACATCAGAATCTCCCGGGAGACTTGTTCAAATGCAGCTTGCTAGACTGTAGTGACAGATTTTCTGATTCAATCGTTATGGGGTGAGACCTGAGAATTTGCATGTTGTTATAAGATCCCAGCTGTTGTCAAGATAACTGGTCTAGGACTACTCTTTGAAAACCACCACCGCAGAGAGTTGCATATTTGCATCACCATTTGTCCTTTGGCATCCCGTCTTAGGGCAGGGCATGATGTAGGGGAAAGACAAAGGGGCAGGAATCTTGGGTTCTTATTTTCACTAATTTACTCTGTGGCTGCATTTCTGAAGACGGTTTTGATTGTGAGTAAGGGAATATAGCTTGTTACTCTAAGACACACATGGACTTTGTTGGAAGGATACTAGTGAATCTCTCTAATTTCAAGGAACAGATTATAGTTAAGGTTTGGGAAGGGCAAAGCAGCCTTGGAATTTATTTTCTGCTGTCCAGGGTACTCTGGTCAGATAGTTCGAATTCTAAATGCTAATGAGAAGTAATCTATTTGGCTCACAAGGGACAAGACTTTCCCACCCTCCCCCACTTAGCCAATAAGCCTCAACAGGTATTTGGTGGAGCAGACATACACAGCACTGCATCAAGTAAACAGGCAGGGCTGCTCCCCAGCTCCCACCAACCTGAACTGAGCAGCTTACTACAGAGGCCATGACTGGGATTCTTCCCCTGCCTGGGTCTCAGTTTTCTTATCTGTACTATGAGGGGTTTGGGTTAGAACTTCATCACTAGATTAGTGTTTCTCAAAGTTGGCCTGCATCATAATTGCTTGGGATACTAGAAAATAGAGACCCACAATGTCCCAAGGTGTGCTGCTAAATGACCAACAACAGACTTTCCAAAACAAAACAAAACACCCCAATTTATAGTGTTTGCTCAATTTCTGTAGTGTAAATAAATACTCCTACTTTGGCCAAGTTCAAGCTAACAATGTAAAGTCACTGAACTTCACTTTGGGGAAGAGAGGTACATGTGGGCTCTAGCACACCACCCACCTACTGACTCAGAACCACTGATGGAGGCCTTGGACTCTGCATTTTGCCCCCCTTCAGGTGATGCTAGTGGATCATAAAATTTCAGAACCCCTGCATCCAGAGATCTCTGAGGGCTTTGCTGTCCCTTCTGTCTCTCCATTCTAATTATATTACAGGTTCTCACACTGGTTCTGGGAGTTGGGGAACATTTTCCTTCTTGAAAGAATTGCAGAGCAAGGCCTAGAGAGATAAATGAGCCATTGCCCAAGTGAGCTAATGATGCATCTGCACCAGCCTGTCTGGTACTTTTTCTCCTTGTCCTCTGTGAGGGCCCTATCTCTCCATCCTAGGGGCAGGGCAGCATCTCGATGTGCACGTCTCAGAGGGATACTGGAGGTTGCAGCTGTGGGTACTGGGACCCATGCCCATTGCCCATCTCTAAGGGTGGGGCTGGATTTCAGCTGCTATCACTATGACCTTTTGATCTCTTATCTCCATCCCTGGAACTGAGAGCCTGCCTGGTCATCGCTATTTTTGTGCAGGTTCCTCATCTTGATAACTTCTCTGTGCAGGTAGAGGACAGAGTGGAGGATGCCGTTTTTTGTCCTGAGGTGCACTGGGGCAGAGAGAGACATGACAGAGCCATGAAAGACCCACCAACAGATGGCAGGGGTGACACAGAAGTCGGGAAGAGGAAAGTTAGGCAAGGAAATGTACAAACTGCTGAAAAGGTTAAAAATTCCTTTTTCTTTTCTTTTCTTTTCTTTTTTTTCTTTTTCTTTCTTTTTTTTTTTTTTTTTTTTGAGACAGGGTCCCACTCAATTGCCAGGGGTGGAGTGCAGTGGTGTGATCATAGCTCACTGTAACTTTGAGCTTCTGGGCTCAAGCAGTCCTCCTCCTAGCCTCCTGCCTCAGCCTCCTGAGTAGCTGGGACCACGGGTGCACATCACTTCTCCTGGCTGAGTTTTTATTTTTTTGCAAAGATGAGGTCTAGCTTTGTTGTTTAGGCTGGTCTTGAACTTTTAGCTTCCACTTATCCTCCCACCTCAGCCTCCCAAAATGGTACTGGGATTACAGGTGTTAGTCACTGCTCCTGGCCCAGGATTGTACATTGTTTCTTTAAGGAGCTTTCAGAAGAAATCATTTTTACGCGGTAGTTAGGTTGGAAATTTAGTTTTGAACTGGGATGGTCCCTGACTCTCTTATTCTAGGGAGTAGCGGTTCTCAAAGCATGATCTCCAGATCAGTAATATCAACATCACCTGGGAACGTTTTAGAAATGCAAACTCTTCAACTCAGAATATCTCCCCCTCTTAGAGCTATTGCCTGAATCACCACGATTCCTTATTCATTTGTGGAGATTAAGCAGTCCTCCCTCAAAAAACTCTTTTCCAATGCTGATGCCCCATGGGACTGCCATGATGGGCTATTTTCTCTGACTACAGGGTGGATGAGCTTGTGATAAGAGAAACAACTGAGGAATTCTGGGTTGGGGATGGGGGAAACTACAAGAGACAATAGAGACTACTCTGGCTATAACAGGCCTTCTTAGGCACTTTCTATTGTGGCTGCTTAGAAGGAGGCCTGAGGCCAGCACACCTCCTGCCCCTTGGAGATATCTAGCATAACATGGAAACTTCAAGCAGTGGATAAGCTCCTGGTGGACTGAACTCTTTGGATCTCTCCTGCATGTCTGTTCTCTCAACTCTCTGGACTCAGGACTTCACTGCCTGTTCCACAAGGAACAGGACTTTTCTGCCCTCCCCTATGTGGCCAATAAGCCACAACAAGTATGTGGTGGAACAGACACAGGAGAGGGTGGAATGGACTGGCTCCAACCCTTGTCTCCTCTCATTCCACCAGGGTTTTGCCATCTTCCTACAGTATAACTTCAACTCCCTCGGGCAACACATGCTCTGTTCTACCCGATGCTGGGGCTCCTGTGACAGGCCTTGTCCCAAGGGCCCTGTTTATATTCATCTGGGCCTGAAGGACAGGATCCAAGCATTGGAGGCTGGTCAGTGCTCAGAGCCTCTGAGGTGCTCCCTCCTTGGAAGTGAGATCCCTTCAGAAGAGTGTAGCTGAGGCTTCTTTCAATGACTATCTAGGGGATACTGGGGAAACAATTTGGAGCTGCGGCTGGGGGTTGACTATGAACCTGGCAGACTGGAGTGTAAACCTGAAGTCTTTCGTCCATTTAGGTCTGAACTTGTCCTTCCAAAAGTGATGTGTGAAGCTGGTGGATCTGGGATAGGCCATTTGGAGAGGAGAAGAATGTGGAGTCAGGCTGGAGGGGACCTTTGCCTGATATAGCTCTGGACCAGTCCTGAGGCACTTACTTTGGTTTAGGTGAAATAAGCTATTTGTGGGTACACCTCTGAGCATGTTCTACCTGTGTGTCTTTCTCTGCATCCATAAGCGTTCCCATGTGTATCTGTGTAGAGTCTCCATCTCACCAGCTGTGAGGCCACAGACAGGTGATTTAAACCACCTGGCCTCCTTTTTCTGTGTCTGTATTATGGGGATAATAATAACTTTTATAAAAGCTTACTATGGCAGCAAAATGAAACAATACACACAAGCTTCTTAGCACAGTTCCTGGTGCTCATGTGTTAGGCTATTATTATCAATGCCTTGGGTAATTTACTTAACCTACCTGGGCCTCAGTTTCTTCATGTGTAAAATAGGGATAATACCAGAACCTAGTACTATTCTAAGGATTAGAGCAATTGATACCTATGAAGTTCTCATATACGCAATAAATGTTAATGAGTAGAATGTATATTATCTTTGCATATGGATGTGTCTGGATGAGAATATCCGAGTTTGTAAATGTCTCTGAGCATGTCTTGCTGCTGGTGTGTGTATATACACATGTATATATGTGTTTAAGTGTGTTTATATGGCCAGACAGGCCCAGTCTCTCTGGTGGAGTTTGCTGTTGGCCCAGGTCTGGACTCCCTGAGCCAACTAGGGCCGGCGCCGGGGATGGAATTTCCATTAAGAATTAAGCAGGACAGCCCAGCATTGAGAAGTCAGGCAGGCAGAGGGGAGGGGGTCGAGGGGGAGGAAGCTTCAACTCTGAGCTCCCTTGGGCGGCCTCAGTACTGAACTGCCTTGGACAAGCTTTGCCTTGAGTCACAGGCCTTCTCAGGGCCATGGCCCAGAAGGATGGGCAAAGGGGGAGAAGCTGTTTACAGGGGCCTCCATAAGGAGACTTGGAGTTGCTGCAGCCAAGGCTGGAGCCATGAGGCGGCCCCCCAGCAATGGAGTGGCGGCCAGCGAAGGTCCAGGTGGCTGGGGTCTATGGGGAGTCCAGGAGTCCAGGAGGCTCTGCTGTGCCGTACGTATCTGGGAACGTGGATGTGAGTGTGTGTGTGTGTGTGTGTGTGTATTGGGAAGTGGAGGGTGGGGGCATTTATGCCAAGTGCCTCCAGGGAACATCTAACAAACCAAGTCTGTTCCTCTCTTACCCTGAAACCCAGACACAGAGTTTGGGCCTGGAAAAAAAGATCTTTGAGGCTTTTTTGCTAACATCGATCTGTTTATGATCTAAGCCTCATTCTATTTCTAGCGTATAATAAAATATCTTAGTTTTCCAGGTGCTTTACATCCTTGACCTCACTTCATACTTTCAACAACCTCATGAGCTGGGCAGAGATTATTATGTTCCCCAATGTACATATGGGAAAACTGACGCTCAGAGAGGTTAAGTGATTTGTCCAAGGATTCATCACTAGAAAGTGGTAGAGGCAGGATGCAAAACCAGGTTTCTCTGAGGAAGAAGTGGAGACCGACCTTCCTTCCTTCCTTCCTTCCCTCCTTCCTTCCTTCCTTCCTTCCTTCCTTCCTTCCTTCCTTCCTTCCTTCCTTCCTTCCTTCCTTCCTTCCTTCCTTCCTCCCTCCCTCCCTCCCTCCCTACCTCTTTCTTTCTTCCTTCCTTCTTCCTCTCCTCTCCTCTCCTCTCCTCTCCTCTTCTCTCCTCTCCTCTCCTTTCCTTTCCTTTCCCTCACTCTGTTGCCAGGCTGCAGTGCGGTGGCGCAATCTTGGCTCACTGTGACCTCCAACACCGTGGTTCAACTGATTCTCCTGCCTCAGCCTCCTGAGTAGCTGGGATTACAGGCACACGCCACCACACCCAGCTAATTTTTGTATTATTAATAAGATGGGGTTTTACCATGAGGGACTCAAGCTCTGGACCTCATGATCCACCTGCCTTGGCCTTCCAAAGTGCTGGGATTACAGGCATGAGCCACCACTCCTGACTGAGACTATTCTTATCATACCACCTGCCTTACCAGAAACAGACTCAGAGAGAAGATTCTGCAAACTCTGCCCATTTGAGTAAGACTGCGGTTTCAGTGGTAATGCCCAGCCAGGTGGCACCAAGCCCTGTCCCCAGCCCTAGACAGCACTTGTTGAGACAGGAACTGAGGCCCCTCTCAGGGAACTTGGGGAGTAGAATCAGGCTGTTCTGGATGACTGCAGGGTAGAGTCGAAGCTCGCTTGTCTGAGAGGAATGGCTTGGCCATCTTCTGAGCCCTGGGTCCCTAGAGAGCTGAGGAAGAGAGTTAATGTCAGAGAGCTACTGTGTGTTCGAAGCCAGGGAGCAGCAGTCAGCTTCAGCCGGAGCCTGAAAACAGAAACAGAGATTATTAGCATCAAGGAAGAGAAAGCTGCAGCGGGACCTTGGTGTGGTCATTTTGTCATGGGTACGGAGTCGAACTCCTTCTCCCTGAATACATATTGTGAGCAAATTGACATAGTTTGCATGTGAGATATTTAGGTTAGATGTCAAGGAGAACTTTCTGCCAATAAGAGAGTTCAAGCTTTCGAACAGGGCTCAAGGGAGACCAGGGGCTGCCTTTGCTTGAGGACCTCCAATAGGTCGAGATTCTCTGGGCTCTGGGGGACTCATAGCAAGATGGGGCGGGAGCGGGGGGTTGTATGAAATGACCTGGAAGCTTTCCTCCAGGTCAATAATGCCACATTCCAGAGTTTTTGGGTGGGAATCAAGTTCTTCTAGATTTAGCTATTTCACAGAGTCCAGGACGGGGGTCGGGGTGGGGTCTGATCTTATGTGACGAAGTTAGAAGGAGTTTCTGCAACAACCCCTGGTCATTTCTGGCAGGTCCAGGATGTGGAGGGTGACTTAGGTGTGTGTGACCAAGGTTCCAGAGGGGAGCACCTGCGGTTAATAAACCGTCTCATTCTAGGTGTTTGGGACCGATCAAAGCCGGGCTGCTTCCTCCTTCCGAGCAAGTGAACTGTACCCAAATCCCTCCTTGTTTTGTTTCAGCTCCAAGGGAAACGATTGCGGCACATTCCCTTCCCCTCTCCAGATGTTGGCATGCGGGGCACCTTGCGGGCGACCCCGCCCGGACGGCTCCGCGGCTCCTGGGCAATCACCCTGGTGCCTGCCTCTTGGCCCAGGGTAGCCCGGTCTCTAATTAGGCCTGACCGCGTCCCCATTCCAGCGCTCCCGCAGATGGGAGGCAGCGCCATGTTTCCCCCGCCAGGGGCACCGAAATAGCCTCGCAGTCCCGCGGAGACTGCAGGCAGCCGGGGCTGACGCGGGACCACGGCTTGGCAGGGAGCGCGCTGCTGTGGAAGGTCCTTGGGAGGCTGCGGCCGCCTGGGAGAGGGCGGGTGGGGG